GAGAACAAGGGAGGAGGGAAGGGAGGGACAAAACTGGGGTGGAGAGTCGTACCCCAGGGGAGGATGTAATTAAGTGTTAAACTACTGTGTCAATACATGTGTCAACTCACATCATAGGCAGAGGAAGGAAGGAAAAGAGAAGGGTCAGCACTCAATACACATGTCAATGTCTATTATATTGTAGGGTCAGAAGAAGTAGGAGAATGAGTAAGGTAGGTAGGTAGAGAGGGACAGACAATGAGATTCATACTATCTTTCATTCTGTGGCTAAACATAAAATAAAGAAAAACAAGGGATAAATTATAGAGAGAGACAAATACTGGGAGATTGGGCAGAAGGAGGTCATAAAAAAAGGAGCAAGAATGAGAGAGAAAACAACTGAATAAGGCGGCACGGAAAAATCAGGCCAAAAGAGGGAGAGCCGAGAGAGAAGGAATAACAGAAGGAGGAATGAAACAAAATCTGGTGGTGGTGGGGGGAGATTGACAGAAGAGATCAGACAAAATTGAGGGAGACACCAAACAAGACAGTAAACAGTCCAACAAATCAAGTCACAAATCACCAAAAATGGAGGAAAGGGTAAATGAACAAAAGACATGACATGGGGAAAAAGGAAACAAGTACAGTATAGATGTCAGCCAGAAGAGATAATTGCTTTGTTGTTTTTCCTTGTTTCTTTCTCTCTCTCTCGCTCTCTGTGCCCAATCTATTCTGGTGTCAGACCACCACAGCTGGTTATGTAGATGGAGAGAATATAAAAAGGGAAAAGAAGTGGAAGAGAAGGGAAGAGAAAGATGGGAAAAGGGTTGCAGGTTTCTACATCTCTTTTATGCCCCCTTGCTATCATTCTTTTCCTCTCCCTCTCTTTCTCTCGAGTACCAATAATTACTCGTTTCTGTGTCACCAGCTTGAACAAAGCACTCCCTTGTCTCCATCACTTTCTCCCTGCATCTGTGTGTATGCACGTGCCTTTGCAGGGTTTAAACATAATTAGAAGCACAGAAACACACGCACACACACACACGGTGGGGTAGGTGACAGCACAATGCCGGTGTCTGCAAATACAAGCATAGTAATGAGAACACCACCCCTGCCTATTGGACATAACCAATTCAATCAATCGATTCATTTTATTACAGACCAGTAATCCAAGTTATATGAGGTGCACTTTATATTCATGAACATTCGCCGCCTCAGGAGCAGTGAGGATTTAGGTGAATATGATTTCATGTGTCCATGAAGTGGACGCATACCACAGAGCTGCAGATCTGCAGGTACATATGACAACAGGCATCAAAATATAGTTAAAAATGCATAATGCAGTGAGGAATAGTGAATCACCATATCAAAGATGCATGCATTTGTGAATGTGTCCGGGTCTTTCCATGTATATTTCAGTGAATTTGCTAGCGTATTTCTTTCCCTGCCAACGTGGTAAAAACAACTAGAGAGGTGATGCACGATCTCATAAGGGAGGGAACGAGGAGGGAGAGGGGGAGGACTAGAAACATTTGATGAGGGTGGCAGGGAAAAGGAAGATACGAGGGCAGAGGATGAGGGAGGAGCAGAGGCTGGTAAACAGGAAGTAATGAAAAGAAGTGTAGTGAAGAGAGGTGACCTTGGATGCTAAATAATGGTACACGGTTATAGCTGTGGCTAATAGAGACATAGTACAGTGGCTGTGAAAATGAGAGAGGCTAGGAGGTCAGGCCGAAGGATTTGCAGCTAGCAGAGCTCATTGGCTGCAGAAATACAGGATGTAAAAGAGACAGAGAGACAAAGGAGAATAGATGTGCAGAGGGAACGAACATAACTAAAAATGTATGTCAAATGGTAAAAAGGTATCAAGAAATGATGGGCAATTACAAAGCAATGAAAAGGGCAGAGGATGTAGGAGATAAGAGTGAGGGACTGATCAGCAAAAAAAAAGGAAATCTGTTTATAAAGGATGGATGGAAAAAGAATAAGGGATGGATTGAGGGAGGGGAGGATCGAAAAAGAGCTGAAAAGAAGGATAGAGGGAGGAGGGATAGAGGACAGTGTGAATAAAGGAAGGGGTATTGAATGGCAGGATTATAAAAATGACTCAAGGATTCACTCAAGGTGTGTGTATGCGTGTTGTGTGTATGGTCACACAATGGAGGACTGAATAGTTTGATCCTGTGTCCCAGTTTATCAGACAGACAGACATAGTACAGACTGCGAAAAGCATTTAGTTGTTTTCTGGTAATCCACATACATACAAATTCATCTGGTGCAGTATAATTCATAGTGCAACCATATATCAGGAAGTAGAAAGGGAATCAGCACAAATATTATTTGTAGAAGGCTTTGGCAATGCAGTTTCTTATTCAGTGCTGAATCCAATAAAGCACGCAACAGTATAGCAGCAATATTAATCAAACAGACGCCATGCGACATGGGAAAAGAGGGGAAAAGAAAGGACAAAGTATGCATTAACATGACAGTGAATCAAAAGAAGAAAAAAAAAAAACATTTAAAAATAACCTTTGTTACAGAGAACTGGCCCCTCAGCCGAAGACACGACTCCTCAAATGTCTCTGCCTCGCAGGGTCGGTCAATTCTACACAGACACGTACATGCTCTGGATGAAATGACACTGCTGTAATATTTCTTAAGGCCTTTTGTAAGCCTATAATCTGACCACAGCTTTTTATTCAGAAACAGAGACAGCAGTAGTGTCATCAGTGCTGCTTCTTGCATATTTCATTGGGAAATCTGATTGAGATTGAAATCTTTACTAATGGACTTACAGGGGCAATTTGCAATGCCCTGGTGTGAGATGCTTCTTAAGATGCTTTACTCTTTGCTTTAGGAATATACAGTACTTACTCAAAAACCTCTCTTTCCCAAAATTAGTTATTGCCCTGATGTTGCTTAGAATCTGTTTGTGATTCAACTAGATGATTTTAATGTCACTATCTGCTCTTCGAAAGAAAGATGACTGATATTCTGGTGTGTTTAAAGTGTGGATATTGCATGAAGAGATACTTTCACTCGAAGTACTGCGCTGTTGAGCAAATGAGTCTTTGCCATGGTAACTCAGTTCGTAATCCGCTCCAGCGTGAACAACAAGTTAATTATTGAATTTGTGACAGTGTTAGAAAGCAATCTATAACGACCTAACGTCCAGTGGATGAGGCTGATTTTGGAGGAGAATGCCCCATGTGTCTCTTCAGATTGGACTTGGAGAGTCAGACAGTATACGTTGTCCTTCATCATCATGATCATATTGAGCATCTGTTAGAAATTAGGGGTTTGGAGGCATCTCTGTGCTGGTGCTTGCTATTCAAATTAGTCTAGGAGATTTGCTAAAAGAGATTGAGTTTGCAACACGTTCTTTTCAAAAAAACATTTTAATCCTAAATTATACCTGTGCGATAGTTAATATTCTGGCCATTTTTTCAGAAAATTTCAATTTTGTTCACTTTTAAGCACTGAGAAGGCAGTGAAAATCAGTGATCAATATTCCTACGTAGCAGTACTGTAACCCAAATCCATGAGTCTGCCCCTCTGTCTTGCATCAAGTTGGCCCCCTCTTTTGTTTCATGGCTAACTTGGCATTATTCAAGACATGCAGCTCCATAATTTCTTTGAGACTGAATAAACTTAATATGTTTGTGAGAACTGTCAATCAGACGGATTTCATTTGTGCTTATGTAACAGCAGCTAAATTACAACCAATTAAACACTAAAGAAAAACACAAGTAGGCTAAATTGTTGCCGTCCTTGGTGTCTTTATTGAGTGCATTTTAAACAGACTAAGGTTAAGGGCCTTCTGCATTGGCTCCCCCGGTGTCTGAGTCACACTAGATGGCATTTATAGGATGTAGCTCAAGTCTGAAGGGAGCTGGAATGGTTAGCAACAGACGATACAAATAAACCCTTTGATGTAGCAAGAAAAGGGAGAGAAAAAAAGGGAATTGGAGAAACCGAATGCAGGAGAGGAAAAAAAAAAATAAAAAAGAAATCGGTAACAAAATATTCATGGCAGCAACACAAAGATGCACAAAGACACACCTGCCCACACAACAAGGTTGGACAGCAGAGGGCAAAGTCATACCCATCAGCAACAGACACTTGAGCTGTGCTACAGTCTCCCACACACACTTTACCCTAGCATGTCACACACACAGACCCACCAACATAAAAATACACAGACTTTTATTCCAGTATGTCATAAATACAAACATAACAACCATGACCGCGTGCATACACTGAGACAAGCACATACAACTTTTGTAGAGCCTGTGCCCCTCTGTTCTTATCACCACCACATTTCATTGTTTTCTCCCCTCTCTCCGGCTCTCTATTGTTCACCTCTCCCCCGTTTGTTAGCACTAAAGGCTGCTCGAACACTTAAAATGAGGACACATTCAAAGCACTTCTCTCTTTATTATCCCACGCAAGCACTCACCCATTACAGACACATGCAGGAGCACATTTGCAGTCAAAATATAACACACCCTTCACTTCTGATGACAATCCATCCATCCACACATTCCTTTTCTATAAACTGCCAATATGTCCCATCTTTAGGGTGATCCTGGCCCTGACCGTTAAACCTAAAATGGCCTCTTCTTTTAAACGTGAGGTCCCACAAAATGGCTTGACGTTTGCTTCTCGCAGGGATTCAAGTACGAGCATGCACACGTGCACACCCCCCTGCACTCTAAATGAGCAGACAGAGTTCTCTTTTCATGTTCCCTGGGCGCGCTCTCCATCAATAGCTTCATTTTCCCTCTCTCCCCCTACTGCAGTATCCACTCCTGCACTGCTTCCAACCATCCTTTTGCCCCTCCTTTCCTCTGCTTCTATTCGTATTCAACCCTTCTTTCTCCTCTCTACTTAGTTCCTCAATAGTCTAGATATTCAGGCTAGGCTCAGAGTTACTGAATATATTTCACGTTTCACTACAAATCTTGCGCACACTGTTTATTTGACTGACCTCTATTGTTTTTTCTTTTATCCCTCTTTAGAATTCTACCATCGACCAGCGACCGTTTCCTGCTGAAGAACTTGGTCTCCGGTGTGGACTATAACCTGTGTGTGTTGGCCATTTTTGATGACACAATCACATCATTAGCGGCAACAAAAGTCCTGGGCTGCACCACGTTCTCCACCAAGGATGTTTACCCAGCATGCCGCTCTCTCCAAGCACATTTCCTGGGCGGGACACTCACGATATTGGTTGGCGGTGTTGTTGTTGTCACTCTACTCGTGTTCACTGTGGCTCTTATGGTTCGTCACCGTGTCTGTAATCACGGCGATCACATGATTTGTCACAACAGCAACACTGAGGCAGGAGGCGGGGCCTGCTGTCAGGGTGGAGGCGTTGGGAGTGGGGACAAAGGGGGAAACAGTAGTGGGTGCTACCAATCAAATGGTTCCGGGGACATGATGATGGTGGTCCTGCCCAATGGTCTGCCTTCCAAGAGAGGAGGGGAGAAGGACAAGGACAAGGAAGCGGCTGATTCTGCTTCCTCTCTGCCTCCAAAACTCCCTCCAAAGCCCAGGCCCAAGCCTAAAGTCAACCTGGAGCAGTTTCTTTCAGCTGGAGGGGTAGTTTCCACAACAACGGGGGCAGGAGGTGCGATGGCATTGGTAGTAAGGCAAAGGAAGCTGGAGAAGGCGCCGCCATACAGCCTTGAAAGTGACAGAACTCCACTCTACTACTCCCCTTCCCCACCATCCACCCTGCCCCGTCAATCACGCTCCAGGGACCGCCCAAAACCCCATCTGGAGAGAGAACTGACCAATCGCGCCAGTTTCTCTCTGGCTGCACCTTTGAGAGACTCAGAGTTGTTGGACTGGAGAATCACTCCCCGAGGCAGGGACAAATGGAACTCCTCACAGGCTTATCAGAGCCCTCTATCCCCTCTAAGCCCTGCTTGCGGGACAGTTAGCAAACGGCGGCACTCGCTGGATATGGGCTCCTCTGTTGCCCTAGCGACTGATGCTGCAGCGACTGTTGCCAAGCGCTATGGTGCTGTCAGTTATGCTAAGCGGCTGAGCGTGATCTGGACAAGGCGGAGCCAGTCGCTTCATGGAATGCTGGTGCAGTGCGCCTCCACAACCAGTACAACATCTTCAACGGCCAGCGACGAGGTCGAAAGTGCCGGGGGCTTTGGGACACGCTGTGAGTTCCAACGGGGATATATCCATGCTTATAACACCACCAACTCCAACTCTAACACTGGGATCACAACTGGGAAAGCAAGCAGTGTAAAAGACAGGGGGAGGGAAAAGGGAAAAGACGGGAGAAGTGCTGAAGAACTGGAGGAAAGTGTGGTGTAGGGGGGCTGTGAGAGGACAGTTTGAATGGGATCTTGATTTGAGGAGGGCAAAGAGGTGGAGTCAGGGGACAAATTGAGGGTGCAGAAAAGTGCAGATGAGGAAGGAAAAGTTGAGAGTTCAGTGGAAGGGAGAAGAGTAATTCACTTGAGTCTCACTTGTGCAGCTCCCTGATTTGCTCTGGGAGAAGTCAAGAAAAACAGAGGAGAGGAGAAAACATACCTGGAAGCGAGGTGAAGATTTTTAAGAGGCTCTTTATAGCTGACCTAAAGAGCGTCTGGAAAAGTAAATGGGAAGGGAGATGTGAAAGGAAAAAGGGCAAGCGTGGGAGAAATGGGTGAAAGTTTGAAATTAATTTTAAATACTCAAGGTTGAGCTCAGGCTCATTCCAGGATATATAAAGAAAAAAGTACTAAAAACAAAATTCAGAAAAATGAATTAAAAGAATGATCTATATACTGAGGGAGAGACGTAATCAAAAAGGGTAAAACATCAACAGAGCAACAGATCCAAGGATATATAGCACAGACAAAAATGGTGTGAGCTCAGTGTGGATCTCAGTAAAGCCTATACACTAATAGAACCCGACTCTTGCGAACACTTCAACTCGCCAGGGCCTCAGCCCCCACGACACCACAACAGTTTACACTGGATGAAGAAAAACATCACAACCGGTAATACTGGAGGAACGCTCTTCACTGAAAAAGATTTGGATGGCATAGTCCTATTTTCTTTTCTTGTTTTTTGAATCCCACACTGATGGCCATGTTGAAACTCTTTTCCAAAACACAATGAATGTGACTTTTATGTGTCCTCTGTGGCTTGGACAATGATTTTGGCTTGCCGTGCCTGCGGATTATGGGAGCATAAATACAGGGCCGGGTGCATTGGACATGATCAATCGATGCAGGCTGTAAAGAGCAAGTGGAGCAGAGACTTTATTAAAAGAAAGACATTAGGATTACAATGGAGTCGATATGGATTACAAAATGGAGGACGAGGGGTGTATGATGAAACGTGCGCGTGTGCATTTCTGAAAGACAAGATCATATTTGATGTTGGATGATAATGGACCGAACAAATGAATGAATGCATAATTGTGCATGCGTTGATGGATCAGGGACAGGATGTATGTATGTGTTCCTGTATGTGTTTGTATGTGCACATGTATATGAATGTTTGGAGGGGCAATCCAGTCAACCAGACTCCATTTGTGGTAAGTAAGGTTTAGCGCATTCTGGACATGGTGCAACGGAATAAGTCTAAACATTTTGGATTTGTGGTGGTCTTAAGGTTCACCAAAAGTGACGTAAGAGCGAAATGCTGAAAGACATCACCAAAACAAGAATAAATCACTATTCCCATGGTCAGAAAGCTGCAAACCATTAAGTGGCAATCCAAATTTAAAAATAATTTTTTGTGACTTCAGACTCCTTTGTGCCACATGGATTTGCATTAAATCCAAACAGTGAATGTTTTTAGAAAGAAAGCAGTTTAAAAAAAAAAAAAAAGACAGAACCACTATGGAAGACACTGACAATATAAACTCTTCACTGGAAGACTTTGTAAAACGTATAATGGGACGACTGATCCACTGGCACAAACCACAGAGACTCTTAAAAACTCCTATCAAAGACAAAAAAATGAAAAGAGAAAATTTCAAGTACATATATATAGTATATATATATATATATAAAATGATGTTACTTGTCGCACCATGTGTTTCTGTTTTTCAAAGTTTTCTGGGGAATGATGTTAGGATCAAATACAAAATATGAAATGTGTGATTTTTTGTTTTAGACAAAAAATCTTCATGATTAGAACAGAAAAATGTTCATTATATAATCATAGGCAGACACAAAGATTAAAACAGATATTGAAGAAGCATACACAGCAGAAAACACAAACTAGCACACACACACACACCCCAAAAGACAGACACACAAACAAATGCCTATAAAACAGAGCCAAATACATTAAGAATAATGACGTTTAACCATTACTGTTGTTTCCTTTCTGTTTTTATTTCATTTTGCCAAAGTCAATATTGTTATCTGGACTTGATATAAATAATAAAAATTACATGTATGGAACAGAGACGGACTCATTAACACAAGTAAGGAGTAAGTTGCGAGTCGTGTTTGTGTGCATGTGTGTTTAGAGATGTACTTTACATGCGTTTTCCACAAAAGCACATAATATAGGCATAGGTGTCAAAATAATTTACAGTATGACATTTGCCTGTGTCATTGTAGTTTTGTACATCACGAAGTGCCTAAAACAGATTCAAGAGAGTTAAGTGCTATTTAAATCCGCACTATTAGGAATTTGGGGAATATGATGACTATATCAAGAAAGAAACGCTAAGTTCTTTGGATTCCTTTAAAATGGGATAGAAATGTGAAGATGTTTTAAGCTCTAGGCAAACTGGCGAGTCAAAGACGCTTTAGTCTGTGTGGCAAAAATGAAGTTGTTTACTTCTCAGTCAGTGGAGTTGATTAGAAGGGTGCAGTAACCCTTCTTGAGGTAATTAAAAACAACATATAAAACAGAGAAAAGATAGGGTGTGAAAAGAGAAGCAATCTGAGGAAAGCAATCAATAGTTCCAGGAATAGATGGAGATGCATTTATAAAAAACAGAAAGACAAGAGTAAATAAAAGATTTCATATGAAACGCAGAATAGCAAAGAGCTGAAGTGACAGAAAACAGAGTGGTAGACAAAGAACTAAAAGGTGTCTAATGGATTATGATTCTGATGCTTTGTTATTATGAACCATATCTGCTGGTTTCAGGGAGTAATGTAAAACATTACAAGACTCTTTCACCGCTGCCTGCAGCTGAGTTCAACACTAATTTAGCAGCAAAGCAAAGAAATGAGCTGGCAGCGACCTGCAACTGAACATAGCTAATTAAACTTAGAAAAATACAGATGAGTGGAAGAAAAGACAACAGTAAACTGGAAAACATGAACCCGCAAAACAAAACATCCATCCCTACATCAACTTTAACTGGGTGATGGTGGCAACAGGTAAAACATGGTAGCCCAGACCTCCTCCTCCCACTATCAAGTTTTTACTGGAGGATCCCAAGGATGTCCCAGGCTAGATGGGACAGGTAGTTTACCTCTGATTCTCATCACAGTGGATGTACCCACTGTTCGATGTCTGTGAGGCAAGAACCTAAACAGTGACCTGAAAGGGGCTGGTGCTTGGCATGTGTGCTTGCATGTGTCTGCCGCCTGTGTTTGCATGGCTGAATGACCTTGTTTCCTAATGTGTGCGAGTAAGTGTTGATGTTATTTTTGTCATGTCTCTGCCACAATTTGTTAACAGGATAATTTCAACAATAGGATCAAATGACTGGTTTGTGTGGTGTTCTATGTGCGAAAAGAGTTCCTATTTTCTCTTGCAACTTGAGCTTAAGACAGCAGACATCACCTGAGTGATGCAATGACCAGAGGAGATGAAGAAGAGCAACAGAGCGGGCGTGTGTATCTGTGTGTGCGCGTGCGTACATCAGGGTAGAGGGCAATTTGATTTGAAACTCATAAGTGGCAAAATTAAAAGCAGCACCGAGTTTGTCTGAGTGTGTGCACACTTATGTGTGACGGGCAAGAACAACACAGCACAGAACACCAGCCCTCCCCTTTGCTTTCTTTGCCGAAGGCAAAACCCTGGTCCAATTTGACTAATTAAAAAAAAATATAAATAAATAAAAATGCTGACTAACGTGCAAACACACACAAACTCACTTTTTTACACACACACACACACACACGTGCATATATACACTCTACAGGCCAACCTTGTGGCAGTGGTGTTTGTGTGCTCATGCCGTGTATGTGCGCATGTGTGTCTCGAAAGGCCATGCCTGCCTTTAGCCAAACTTCCTCTGACATTTGCAGTTATGATCAAGGTATGATGCATTTCCCTGCAGTCTGCTGAGTAACTGCTGACTCAGGATGCATCAGGACTCAGCACCTCCTGCGCTAGAAACCAGTTGGACCAATTCGGCAACATGCTGAACTCTGCAATGATAGGAACAGAGTGGATATCAGTCTACCCAACTCCCTGGCAACTACAGTCTGAAATAATCAGTTGTACTCCTTTGTCCTTAAAGGCAGTACATGAGACGATAAACACACAACAGCCGAATAGTCCTCAGCTATAAGGGATAATTCCAGGGTTCCTGGAACATGACTTGACCTTCTTTAACTTCGCCGAGGCACAGACCTGATTTAATAAGTGCAGACATTGTAACTTTCAGGGATACAATTCGACTGAGATGAGGGACTGTAGGAAAAAACAGGCATGAAAAACCACATCTGTAGGGATTAACGGACACATACAGCTACAGTATAATACAGAAGATACAATTTAATGCTCTGAACTCCAACAAGGACAAATGATGATGTCTTTGACAATCTTTTGATTTGACAGCCAGACACCTAAATCAAATAAAATAGCATGGGCAATAGCAACCAACAGATTACAAATGTCTTTACCAATGAGTACAGTATGACAATGTCTTGAATCATCATTTATTTATTAAATGCAGTCACTCGCAAATATGTAACACATTTAAAAGGATGAGGACACCTCCAAAGATGAAGGGGCAGTAGCAATCACATGGTGCATCTATTTCGCTTTAACGGAAATTGTCAGCCAGATTTAGTGAATATGCGTGTTGTGTGAGAGAGTGACAAACTAAAGAATTTTTTTTTATTTGAGAAGCAAAGAAATTTCCGTTCTACAGCAGACTGCTGCTAATACATGACGGTTCTTTTACCATGTGTGCATGTCCTCTTGTTTCAAGTACAGCACAGCTGTGCCATTTTATTCTTTCACTTTGAAATTCACAAACATGGCAGGAAACCTTTACAGTAAATTTAGAGATTCAATCTTCAGGTTTTGCCTGTATGAAAAATTTCCATTTTACCATTTTTAACATTACTGTTCTTTGGAGTTGACAGCTCTGACTTTCTATGTTCCTGTATGAGCTAATGAACCATCATGCACCTCTATTGTTGGATATTCAACACAATGCTAGTGTAGTACCATTTTGTAAGGATGCTTCAAGTGAAATACCCATCATAAACATTTAACATATACAGTCCACAACCAACCAGATGATAATTGCTGTTTACCATTGAATCATTTTTTTCTGTTGCAATTATGGTTAACAAGGCTCAGGGGAAATGAGGCCTGAATGATGACTACGGATTGTCAAGAGAGCTAATGATGAAGGTTGATGGATGCCCGATGTCAATCTGTCGATGTCAGATATCACCTTACTTTCAGAGTTGAAGGGATTCACTAAGCATATTCATGTACCAGTTCGAAGCATTCACAACCTTGTAACTCCATGGTTCAGATCAGCTGAAGTAAAGTCATACAAAAGTTGTTTCTACCCCCTCAACACCAATTCCCCACATGCTGTCGGTATCTCTCGCACTCAACTTGTCAGTATGTCTATAGTGTAACTCCTCAAACAATAAAAGAATAGCATGGAGAAGATGAGAGAGAGAGAGTCAGGAAATAGGATTGAAAGATAGAAGCAGAGATAAAAAGATTGATTGGATATAGAAAAGCAAACAGAAGGAGAGAGATGGGAGTAGCTGCGAAAGAAGAAATCAATGGTGCTACTATAGCAGCAGAAGACAGGGAAATAATCATTTGCCTTATCTAAATGCATGATAAAGAGAACCAGCTACTTTTCATGAACTACTTTTAGTTACCAGAACAGCTGACAGATGCTGGACAGGAAGCAAGCGTCCAGTTCGTGTAAAACTAATGACCTCAAGGTAGGGTTTATTGGAAATGTGTTGAATTCTGATAAACACCAGCACTACCAATACAAAAGACAGCAACAGTCTCAGTTACAGTGTGTTTAATTATGCCAGGGAAGTAAAGTTAATTTGATAATGACATGCTACACAGAGCACCTTCAAAATAAACAGATGTGAGAAGAGGTGGCAGAGGACGAGAGATGGCAGAAGAGCCAAAGTGGAAGACAAAGGAAGAGAAACAACTAAAGGTGTTGAAGTGATAGGACATCCCTGCAAAGCTTTACCTTCATGCATCGATTCCTTTTTCTCTCTCTGCCTTCCTCTCACTGTCTCTCCGCAATCTTTAATTTAGCCTTCTATCTAATTGGCTCTCTCCTTCACCTCCACTGACTTCTCATTCAATTCTTTGTTCATTGCATTCAGCGCACCGTCCTAATCTCCACTTCTCTCTGACCTCCTTGCTCGCCTCGCTCTAGCTGTCTTTCACTCATTTTATTCCGCTCTCCTGACTGTAAGAAAATACTCTTTGCCTCCCTGTCACCCTCCTTTGAAGAATATTAACCTTCTCTTTCTCCTTTATTCTGTTCCTCCCTCTTGCTTCCTTTTCTTATTTTAATGTCTCTTACTGTCACTCCCACTTTTGCTTACCATATCAGTACCACCCAACCTTCCCACTCAGACACTTCAATATTAAAATTCATCTCTCGACTTTTATTATGTCACCCAAATATATTCTGGCATTTCATCTTTGCTCCTCTGTCCTTGCATCTCTCCACTTTATTCTTTTGGTTCATTTTCTGCTTTCCTCCCCATTTGTGCCTCTACTTCCTATATATTCCACTTTCATATCTTACAGCTGCATTTTAAAAAGTTTTTGCACCGACTTTCCAGAGTCCGACTGTAATTATTTGGTTTGACTACATACATGAGTACATACGTGCAATGGTAAATAAAAGTTATAAATTAGTTAGTATACATTCATTCCAACATTAGAAACATTCAAAATTGAATAAATTCCAATTTTTAATGATATCCCAATATATAATCTCATAAAAGGTATTCTTTCAATTGTATGCTGAAAAAAAGATCTTTCAGTCTGCAGCTTTCTCCTTCACCTCTGTTCTCACGCTTCATGTATTCTCTTGTTCCTCTTCAGCCTTCTTTTCATTCAGCTGCTATTGTAAGTAAGAGAACATTTTATTTAGAGACCATGATTACCTCCCTTCATTCTCAGTGCCTATCCTCCCTCCTTATCCTCTAGTGCTTAAAAAAAGTTTTTCTGTGAACAAAACATCTGACTTTTG